TACATATACAATATAAAATAAAATGTTTTAATATATTGATTACTTAGTTTATAATTTAATTACATAATAATCATATTTAGTAATAATAATGATTAAGTTACAAGTTTTCAATGTAAAAAAAAAACCACATTAGAAAAATTTTAAATATACCAAAAATTTTTATCTATGAGAAATTTTTGAATTCATATGTTGACAATATTATAATAAATGTCACATGTAAGTGTGACATTTATCATAATTGCTATGTCAATGTCAATAATTATGTTAATTGAAAGCAAGTGCTTTATAAACTATCTTCCATTACTCGCTTTTGATTAATTTTTCTTAGAATTACGAATAGGTTATATCGGGCGGATTATGTGAGCAATGGAATATGCGGGTATTGTATTGCGTATCACCTTTTATAATGAAATTCAGTCACTCGTGCCATTTCTTATATACTTCGAATTTTACATTATATATACAACTTTATTTTTTATATAATAAAACGATATGATTTTTTAATATCAAAAAATATAACAGAATTACATTTATGAAAGATTTTTTTTGAAAGAATTGAGAATTGAAAATTTATAATGAAATTTCGTTTAAGATTAAGTAAATTTATTAAGGAAATAATTTTTAGGACACATAAAACAATATTATTGATTAAAATTTCTGATCATATAGATTACAACCAAAATCTTATAATTATATAAAATTTTCTAATCTCAAATTAATTTTTTTTTTTTTTTTGAATGATTGTCTAAAAATAAACTAAATGTATAATTTGTATGTAATTATTTTAGATTATTTTATATATATTTTATTTTTAAATAATCACCGAATTCAGGAAAAGATTAATTTTTCAATAAAAATTCAATAACATTAATTATGATCAAATAAATAAAATTTATTTCAAATATTACTTAATTTAGTTTTTATAAACAAATTCAAAATTAAAGCAATTGATTTTATTAATTATTTTTTTTTTTAAATTATTTAACAATAGTTGGTAACTCTATTAATATTTGTTTTTCAATCTATAATTTCTATATATACATTAATCAATATTATATGTTTGTAAGTGTATTGTGAACATTATACAACATAATAGATTATTGAGTAGCCACTTTAAAAAATAAAAATGAGAATAAAATTAAGATGAATATGTAAAATGAGATGAGATGAAGAAAATTTTTGAGTGAATATTGAAAAAATAAAGAGTGAGAAAAAACATTTTTTTTTTTTTTTCACATTATTATACAAAGTTCATATTATAGGAAAATTATTAAAATGATATTGATAAACGATGATTATGATGATGATGATGATGATATGACAATATTAAGATTTCAATAAAAAAATTTTTTTTTTCTATTTTTAAATATTTAAAAAAAAAACCGGCTGCTGATGAAGATGCATGCGTACATGATTTATTCATTTTTACATTTTTCTTTTTTTATATATATAGCTATACGTACATATGTATACTTATATGTAAATAATTTAGTAGCAAGTGTTGCAATGTTGAATATCATATTATGTTGCATATATATACATATATACAAACATAGGTAGACAATAATAATAATGTGAAACAATAGCTTGATGAATCAATAAATAATTGTTTCTAAATACATGTACATTAAAAGCATAATGTAAGAGAAAAGAAAAACAAGAGAAAAACACGAGAAGCATTTAAGAAAACACAAAACGAACGCACTTAAATCGATTTTTTCTCATGTTATTTTTTTTTTTTTTTGCGCTCCAAACGTTTTTGTTGCCAATCAAACAAAAATAAAGTGTTTAAAGAGCGTTTTCGTTCTTTTTTGTTTTTTTTTTCTCCTTATTATTGTTCTTTAACGATTTCTTTTTCAATGTAGATTCAATTTACAGATTCATTTTCTTTTTTTCGCCTTATTATCGTCTTCTTTTTTTTTTGGATTTTGATGTTTTTTTTTTTTAAGGATGACAAGTATTTTAAAAACACTTCACCTTCCAGGATATTTATATTACACCTACATTAAGTAGTTTGGGTAGAAAAACAAAAAATTCCAACAAAAAAAAAATCTGATGTGGTCAGCACATAACCGACCGCAATGTGTATTGTCTAGTTAAGTGAAAGTGTTACAGAATATTATAGAAATGTCTGTTAAATACTTCTTTCCAATTTTTAGGACATTAGTAAGCTTATAGTTAACATACCTAGAAAAATGTAAATTTGGCTCTTAGTAGAGTTTCGCTTTGTGCTACCCGAATTCCCTGAAATGCTCACCAGTTAGTTTCGGTAACAACCAGAACTCAAATATCAAATTTGAAGAAACTCCATCAATTCGTTCCGTAGATATGGTGAAAAATGTAAAATCGGCCCGCAGATCAGTTTTCGAGCCCTGATCTTTCCAAAAAATTTATATGTTCATAGTTTTCATACGAGGAATTTATATATTAAATTTCAATGAAATCGGTTGATTATTTCTCTTTATATACACAAAAATGTATATTTGGCCCGTAGTAAACGTCCAGTTGCTGACGCCTGATTTCTTCCAAAAGTTAGGAGGTTTCATCGCCGGTAGAGCAAAACTTATATATGAAATTTCAAGTAAATCAGTTGAATATGTTCTTCAATATGCTCAAAAATGTAAAATAGGCCCGCTAAAAAGTGCAGTTCCCGAGGCCTGATATGTACCAAAAGTTGATCGATCCGTGCCATGGTGGAAATAAACTTACATATAAAATTTCATCAAAATCGGTTCAGCCGAACTTGAGATACACGCGTGCACACACAGACCGACAGACGGACAGACCGACAGACCGACAGACCGACAGACCGACAGGTTGCTAAAAATAGTTTATTTACACTTCCCTACTATGGAGAAGTACGTTCCCACCGAAAACTCGATATGCAAAATTTGTTGCCATCACATAACCTACCTATTGTTTACACAATACGGTCGGTAAAAATATAAAAATAAAAGCGTATATAGAATAAAAGGAGGCGGTTTTTTGTTTTATAATGCGGTATTTTATTTTATTTAAAAATAAGTAATATGTGTATAACATGACATTTGACTTATTGCTAGAGGGTGATTCAAATACAATATTAAAAGAAAACGAAACAAAAATATACATATAGACGAGAACAGAATAAAAAAGCATTTAAAAACAAAATGTGAAATAAAGGCAAACAGAAAAAAAAATAAACGATAATAAAATTAATCCTTGAAGGCTATATCTGATTTAAGACATGATTATAGTATTAAGATCAAGGTTTTTTTTTTGCTATATAAACTTGCGCTATCAATTTTTATTTTCTTCTTTATTTTCATTTTTTATATCCTTCGTTCTTTTTATAATAAGGATATTAAAAGAGAATTAATAAATAATTGCTTTGATTTTAGAAAGTTTTTATTTTGGTTGTATATGATGCATACGATATAAATCGTCTTGACTACTTGTGTTATATTATTTTATATTTTCTATATAATTAACGTGTTGTAATTTGTTATAATATAAATAAAAATATTGATGATTTTTAATGATAGTTCTGTGTATAGCAATTTAGAATATTCGATATATTCCAATATATGAAGATTGCGTTAGTATGTTACATAATATGAAATAGTGAAAGATTAGTTAAATGATAATTTAAGATTATTGTGAATTATTTTAGAACAACTACGGTAGGTTCGTCAACTACTTAGTAAACTCAATTACGTCAGAATTTACATAGACGGGAGAATTTACATAGAAAACAAGGTATATAACAGACATGGCCAGACTTAACCCTGATTAGAGAAAAATAAAAACATTTTTAAAGATTTAACAAGAAAACAGAAAAGTATACAATTTACGGGCTGCAATTTGGCCAATTCTTACATACGCTATAAGCTGAAATAAAAAAATTTTGTTATTTTGAACAATATAGAACAGGAGACATAATTTTAATTGCCGCTTACATATAAAAAAAAGCTTCAGTTCTTCCACCTTTTTAAGCTTCTTTTGTACATTTTTAAAAATTAATTATACTCGTATAAATTCCATATAAAATTAATAAAATTTATTGATTTGTTAGAATTAAAATAGAAAAACTTAAGCCAAATTTTTCTACATTGGTGTGCTTGAAGCACATATGTGAAATCTTTCTTCAAATCAAAATCATCCGCCTACATCAAATCTATAATTAAAAACCATCTGAAAAAATACAAATAATAATACACATACTTTTTATAACCCTAAAATTAAATCACTGCAAAAATTATTAAGAACCGATTAATGTTAATTCATAAAAAAAGAAAAATTAAAAATTAAAAAAAAAAAAATTCCATGTTTTCTTGAATTTCTTTTTAAATTTCATTTGAATTAAAAAAGCGAAAAGAAAAAAAAACTTAACTGGAAAAAATGAACTCTACCTAAACACCATGACTTTACCACCCATGTTATAAATAGTAAAAAAAAAAAAATCATCATTAGCGCAATTGAAGCAAATTAAATAATTATTGCATGATCGGAATTAATTATGTCACGTGATAAATTAAATTTACGATTAAAAGAAAAAAAAAATTGAATGTTCGTGTTTTCCCGAGGCGTGAACGAATAGTCAAAACGTTATCAAAAATTTATAATTAACAACATTGCGTTAACACGTAAATTTTTAACATATCGACATGGAAATGCCTGAATATAAAATGAAATTTTTTGTGTTGGTGTTACAAATATGTTGTATAAATGTTCTTTATATTACAATATAACGACATCTTTAGAAAATATATGGGGTCTATTTAATGAAATTCTGTTTATTTGTATATATAAGTCATATAAAAGTACCTTGAAATTAAAAAAAAAATATTAACATGAAAATAAATTCCTTATACTAAAATAATTTCTTTTTTTTTTTTATTTATTTTACCATATGTGCAAGCATTTCCTTTATAACTGTTTTTCTTCATTTTTATTTTATTTTTGTATATTTTTTAATTAATTTTGTTTTTTTTCTTTTCTCCCTATTAAATTGTTTTCAGATTGTGATTTCCAATGCGTGTTGCTCAGGAGGTGAAGATTATGTAATAATAGCATATTGCGCTTACAATAAAGCAATTCATATTGACCAACACGGAAGAGTGAATGCTACACTCAAACCAATGATACGTAAGTTATTTTATTTTTTATTTTAACATGATTATTTGTTTTTTTTTTAAATTTTTTAAAATGAAATTTTATAACATAATTGAACATGAATTTTGGTCACAAAACTAATTTATTAATAAATTATTCTAATATTACTCTTTTATCGTATTGTTGAAATTTCAATTTAAGAAAAAAATTCTTATAAAAATTAAAATACCAATGTATTATTGTCTATATACATATATATTTTCTAAATTTTTTAAATTATTTTGCTAAAATGCGATTTTACCTTAAAATAAATGTCACATATTTTAAAAATTTTCGAAATATTTAAAAAAAAATTTAATTTTATAAATTTTCATGTAAGTCATCGTAACATAAATCAATTGAAATTTTATCGATAATTTTGTATGCACATATTTACATTTAAATGTATATATACGAGTACATAATAAGATATAGAAATAGGTGAATAAAATTATAATAATTGCGTTAATTACATTCAAGTTATTAATTAGTTTAAGAATTAAATATAATTCTATCTATCTCTAAATCTGATTCTCTATTTGATCCTTATCGGATTTTATTCTGGGTATGAAAGCACCTATTAATAGTGATGATTACTGTAAATATTTAAAAAATAATTATTATGGACACGAACCATTTGTATGAATATTGTATGTAAACACCACTACCACTTAAAGATTCTATACTCAGAATAACTCGAAATATTTCATAAACAATAATAATAATATTAAAATCAATTTTTTTTACACGCATCTTTGCATTGACTATTTTAAATTTTAGTTATTGACATGTAAATGGATGCAAATATAAAAAAATTGTATACAAATAGTAAAACTTAAGTATGACAGTAAAAATATTATGAATATGGTTAAACCCATTTTCTTTTTCTTCTTCTCTGTAATTTTTATAAATTCTTGTTTATTAAATATAACACACATTTGTACTAACTAAAACACATACGATTATTACTTTGTAATAATTTATAGGACTACGAGTATATTAATATGATTAATAGAACAGGAAATGAAAGTTTCTGTATGCACATACAATAAAAAAAAAAAATCTCTTTCTTTTTCAAACCTTAAAAACAGAGCAAAACTAATAACAAATACGAACATAACCTTAAAAAAAAACAAAAATATTATTAAAAATTATTTATGAATAATTTAGTCAAGAGTTTTTTTTTTGTTTTTTTTTTTTTTTTTTTGTAGAAAAAATTAAATTAAAAAATTCAACTCTATATTTTTTATATGCAAGTCTGTCAAAACACTTAACGTGTCTACTAACGTATGCATGTGTGTAATATGAAATTTTTTGCATTTATGTACCTACATAATATAAATAATATACTTGCATATAATTATATTTAAAATTATATAATTAAATTTTACATAGATATTTTAATGGAAAAATTTTAAGAATTTTTTCATTTGCCTACATTCATATGCATATTTTTGAAGATGCATTATATAACATTATATATATATATGTTATATATGTATATATATATTCCTCTATGAATTCATCTTGAAAATATTCAAAATTACATAATTTAGAAAAAATGCATATATATGTATATAAATTCTATAGTAAAGTGAATAATAAATTTTAAAAAAAATTTACTATGGTATAAGTAAATATTTATGTATGTATACCCAATAATTATATATAGTTATGTGCTTTTGACATTTTGAATATAGTTGGCGCTCTATTCGTTTAACAATATATTATATAGAAAAATAAATAAAAGTACCTTTATTATGTAAAAAGAAAGGAATTTTTATTGTGATGTCTTTTTAGAACAAAACAAATATAACTTTACAGTAAATGAAAAAAAATATTACAATATTAGCGTCAGCTATATTTTTTTTCCCCCTTATTTTCATTTAAATATACATACTTAACTATAAATTTCCAAATATGCATGTAAATATTACATTTTTCTTATTATACGTTTTTCTTTTTGCCTATAAAAAAACCGTGCGACTTAAATTTTCAATTTTCCGAAAAAAAAAAACAAAAACAACAAAAAAATTTTTTTTTTTACAAGTTTTTTGGAATTCTTAGATTTTTATGATTTAAATTTTCTATTCTTATTTTTTCTAATTTTTAAATCTAATATTTTAAAAAAAAAAAATAGTAATATTATTTTTTTAAATTTTAACACAGAACTTAGCATACATTATAGATGGATGTACGAGTACAGTGAAACATTATTTATTAGAAGGGCATTAAACTGATTCCAGGAATATTATTGAAATTTTACTTAAATTAAGAAGACGTGTTTAGTCTTAAAAATTATACCTCGAAAAAATTTTAAAGTCCGGCGACGAAATTCGAAAAAACACACTTAATTTATTCAATTATATATTACAATTGTTATATACAAAAATAAGAATAGCTTAGTTGAACCGGAATAATAATAGCTTATATACCCGGAGGTAATCGTAATTCGGCTAATATTTTCCCCATACATTATATCGATGTTGGAAAAACGTGTCACTTCATTAAAATCGAATATATTTTTAAATTAAAAATTTTAATAAATTTTTATAGGTTTTTAATGAAAATTTTTTAACAAATTTTTGTATACATACGAGTATACCACCAAATTTGAAATCTAGTGATGAATTTAAAAAAGTTAATTTCAAATTACAGTTATTATGACCATTACCATAATCATAAATAATTAATTGTACTTACATATTTGTATGTATACATAAAATAAATGAAGTATTTTTTATAAAATAACCCGGAAATAATAAAAATAATTTTATTTAATTTATGGAAACATTTTAAAGACAAGGAAAAATAAATAAATAAAAACTTGATGACAACTTAATTAATTAGCTTAAAAATCAAAATCAAAAAGAAAAAAAACATCATAATTACAAATTACGTCATCATAATTTAAAGTCACCATATTTTCCAGTACAGTATTGCCAGTGAAGAATTTTATGTAACCATGAGCAGTTTGATGCACCGTATATTTTACTGTTGTTCTCTGTTATTGTATAAACCGGTGACCAAAAATAATAATGAATTTTAGTTGTAAAAAATTAAAAAAAAAAATAGTCATTTAGTGTAAGATTTTTAGGTTTTCTGTTTTAGTTTTTATTTTATTTTTTCTTTTTTTAAATTATTATTGAATATTTTTATGTTGTGCTTAAACTCTCTATATTATAAATGATTTAAAATCACATAATAAAGAAAAATACAAAATTTATGTTCAATTATATATACATATTTACATATACCGTATTTACCATACGTAAATAATATGTCGAACAGTTGAACCCCTTACAATTTGAACATTAGAAAATTCATTTAAATTTTCCTGGCTAATATTGTTATAGGCTTTTATAAACAAAAAATTTTGCTTCTAAAGCAATGTTTTGTAGCAAAAACAAAAGTCAAATGGCGACATTAGTTTGCAATGTCAGTTTGTGACTTTAGAATCGTATACAAGTGCTTTGCAATCACAAGTAATTTAATTGTGAATGAAAACTTTATCCAAGACAAAAAAAAATTATTCAAATCAATTTGAACAGTTTTCTAATATGCATGTTACCTTACATAAGGATTCGACTGTATTAATTTATGCATACATTTTGTTCCTTTATTTAACTTTACATTACTATTTTTATTTTTCTTTTTTTTTTTTCCAATAAATAAAAGCAAAACAGAAAACCAAGACATTCTCGTATCAGGGCACACAAATATTTAGATATAAATATTGAAAAAAAAAAAAAAAATTAAAAATCACAAGAAAATAAAATTATGTCTCTTTTCACAAAAAAAAAAACAAAACAAACATAAAAAAACCAAAAAACTAAAAGAAAATTAAATAAATTTATTAAATACGGGTAAAGTAGCACCTATGTGTGGTACATAACGTCAACAAAAGCTTATCTGACTTTTGTTTGTCCACATTGGATTGATGTATTCATATACAAACATATATGTAACTATGTATGTAACTATATACAAAAAATGTCTCCAAAGGAATAATATGCATTACATTCCTGCATATAAACTTACTTATATTATTAAGTATTATAAATAATATATCAGGTATACATATACATATTTTCTATGAGCGCATATATAAATGACATTGTAATACAGTATACTCGTATATATAATGAATGTAAATGTGTGTCAGTATGTATATTTAAAATGAGTTATTATATTCTTTAATATATTTTCAATAATAATATTATATTGAGTGGTTATTTTTTGAAATTGAAACCAAAGACTACAAAATATATACAGACATATATATACATACATTATATATATATATATATATAGAAGTCAATAATCTCAATATTCAAACGACCAATAACCGCAGAAAAGTGTTATTCTTGTTTAAATGCAAAACCGTGAAAAAACTAAGTAATAAAAAAAGAACAGAATCAACAAAAAAAAAAGTGGAAAAAAAAAATAACCTCTCTGATGTGAATATTACTTAATTGAAAGAAAAACATTCCTGGTATGCACATTTTTTTTTTATTTTTATATTTTTCTTTTGTTATTATTATTTTATTAAAAAGTGCAGTTGAAAAATATTAAATTGAACCACACATTTATATTAATACACTCTTGTATATGTATATGAGTACATATATGTATATAAGTGCATGAGTTCTATGTTCAAGAAAAAGGATTGACTAAGAAAAAATTATATAAGTTACGTATAAAAATGTATGCATTGTCACCTTATATCAAAATTCTTTTTTCAAAAGTCAAATTTTTGTATATATTGACTTTGATATTAAATTCATTGCTGGTTTTATAAAATCTTTGGGCTCTTTACCTTTTCTCAAAATTTATAAGAACAAAGTTCTAATTCTGTCTTTCCTTTACAAAAACAAAAAAAAACATGATTTTGGGATTTGATTCCTAAGTATCAAGAATTAAACTTAAAAATTATTAGGAATTTTAATCGCTGTCCTGAAAATTATTCAAAATTTGTCTTAAAATTGCTCAAATAATAAATCCCCCCCCCCTTCCTCCCAAACAAAAAAACACCTTTAAATCGCTGTCCTCGAAAATTTTCAAAATGTGACTTACGATAGTTTAGATTTAAGGTGTCGAATTTGTTGTAAATAAATTATGATATATGTTTGAATGGAATGTATGCATATATTAATAATAAGAAACAGAAGAACACAACAACACCAATAATAATAATATTGATGATAAGAAGAGAACAATAAAAAAAAAAAAAAAAACTCAATTTACTAGGAAGCGATCAAATTTCCAAGAAAAACGACAAGGGTGTACTTTTTTTTTTTTTTGTTTTTCTTTTTCTCATATTTTTTCTCTTATTGTTATTATGATTATTCCCTTTTCTTATTCCTATTTTTTTTTTTTCATTTTATTTCTATTTTCCAATATAAGTAATAGTTTTGTTCTTCTCCGTAAGGTTTTTTAATTTTTTATTTTTTTAAAGAAAATTAAATAATATTCATCATATTTTTATTTATTTATTTTTTTTTTCCTCCTTATTTACACGTATATGCATATATATACCTAGAATATGAAAATAAATTTATTAAGAAAATATATGTGTATGTTTTTTATATTTAAATATGAATGTATATAAATATTATTTACATGTGTACCATATTATGTACTTAAGGTATATGTATATATATATATATGTGTACATTAAAAACAAAAATGAATTATTTAAGCGAATAACCATTTACTTAATAATAATAATAATAATATTAAATATGCGCGCGAGTATAATAAGAAGAATATAATATTTGTATGATGACAAAAAATGCAACAATAAAAATAGAAACGAAAAAAAAAGAAAATAAAAATATGGTAACGGCGGCTGCAACAACAGCAGCAAAACAACCAGATTGTCATACAATTTAATAATTTTCATCTTTAATATTTTGTTTTTTTTTTATATACGAGCAGTTAGCTTACCTACATTATAACAACAACAACAAAAAAAAAATTATTTTCTATAGCTTTCCTATAAAATCTTACTATACTTACATATTATATATTCGAGAGTTATTTTTTTCAGTTTATCGACTTAACACAAAAAAGAACAAAAATTAAAAAAGAAATTTCAAAAAAAAAAAAAAAGGTTTGTTTTATTTTATGATGGGCGCGTTAACTTTATAATGTACTAAATATACTAAATATGTAGTATTATTTACATACAATACCTTTAGCCATATAATATTTATATATATATATATATATATATATATATATATATATGCATCTGTTTATTATGGAATTCATAAATATGCAGTTTATATGTAAAGAGAGAGAAAAACAAATTAAAGGCGACAAAATATTATCAGAATGCTTGATGTGCAATTTAAAAACAAACATAATAATTATAATAATAAAAAAAAATAAAGAATAAAAATATAATAAAAAATATAAGAAAAATATTTTGAAGGAGATCTCATATTATGTTAGAAATTTTTTTAAATAATTATAAAGTTTTTTATAGCAGCACAAAATTTATATTAAATAAGAATATTATAATTTTTGAATTGAAATACTGCTTAATTTGATTTGAATCGTTTTTGATTTTATAACTCACTCAAATTCCATACCATTCGTTCTATATTCTGTAAAAATTTAATTGATTTAATTCACTTATTTTTGAAATTACGGAGAAATTAAAAATTGTATGGCAAATATTTTTAAATTAAAAAAAATTACAATGTCATTTCAAAATGTTCTCACAACTAAAGCAGATTTGAATGAGTGTAATCTGTATGTAAAATTTAAAATGGAAAAATTTTATTTGAATTTGATGGCGTAAATTTCTATGAAAATCAACATAATATGTGATTGCATATTTTTAGGGGCATATTTATTTTTTTTTAAATTCATGAGAAATTTTTTCAATATACAAAATTTTTTAATAACACTAAAAACACTGATAATTTTGTTTTTTTAATTTCAAAAAAAAAAATTTGCAAATATTTTTTTTTTTGGAATACGTATCACAATGGAAGTCAAATTTCATCAACTAATATTATTTTTGTTCCATAAAATTTTCATAGAACAAAACTGTCCTAAGGCCAAATATTGTATAATCAAATGAGGTTAGACAAATTTAAGAGTAAAAGAATTCATTTTGTTTTGCAATTGTTCAAAAAAAAAAAGAAAATGCACTAAAAAAATCAAAGTTCCTTACAACAATGTAGGAATGGTGGTAGCGCGCGCTTTCTTTTTTAATATTGATTTCTTAATATTTTTTTTTATTTTTTGCTGTTTTTTTTTACTTTTGAAATAATTTTTTTTTTTTTCTTTTAATTTATTTTTATAATTTTTTTTTTGCTTTTAGTAAGAGCAGTACAGCATAGTTTTGTTTTTCTTTTTCTGGTTTTTATTTTTCTAAAGAATTTTTCTTTACTTTTATTTTATGACTCCGACAATTATTATTGCCTTTTGAGAAACCGTATATTATAAAGACGTAAATTGAAAAGACGTAGACATTTGAGAGCGTTTTCCTTTATTAATTTTTCATATTAATATTTTTTTTGTTTTTTTTTTTTTACTCTTTGTATTTATTTATTCTTCGGTATTATGATTATATTAAGAATGTTGTTCTTTTGTCGTTCTCTTTCTTGTTTATTCACTTTATGCACTTTATGCACTTTTGTTTATTTATTTCTATGATATATGCAACTCTAATTTGACTTCTTTTTCTTCGAGTTTTTATTTCAATTTTTTCTTTAATAATAAAATGATCTTTAATAACGATAAAGAGTAATGACAATATTTAAAAAAAAAATAATAATAAGAATAAGAAATTTTGCTGATTATTTTTTTTGTTAATTTTAATTTTTTTCTTTTTCTCATTACAGAGAACATTACAATGGCCTCCAGCTTCGATCCAATAAAATTAGGACAATTTAATTTAACACTATATTCAAAGGAATCGCAAAGATATTTATGTTTTAATAAAAAATGGAAACTAGTGGGAATGGTAAGTAAAAGAAAATTTTAAAAGAAAATATTTATAAGGCAACATTGTAAGGCAATTGAATTCAAAGTAAAAAAAAAATTGCAATTTGTTTTTCTGTAATTAAACACTTTTGTTATCTTTTGATAATATAATCAATTCAATATCCTTTTACAAATATCCCGAATTCTAACGAATTGCAATAAATCTGAAAGTGATACAAATTTTTATTGAATTAAATTATCGTAATGAGAATTTGTAATTTGATACCTTAGCATTATTACTCTTATAGTTTCTCTAACTGAAACGATCAAATAAATTTTAATTTAATTAACAATTTAAAATTATAATAATGAAGAAATTTTTATTTTTCTCATTTTTTTTCTCCTATATAAAATATAGAAATTCGAAACTGATAGATGTCATTTTACTGAAGAATATGAAGGTGGCTATTCAGTTTTTCGATCAGCTGTTGATCGCGATTATACAATAGGATTCTTCCGTGGCCATAAAGATAAACCAAGTCGTCCTATACCAGGGCATTTAAATGGTGACAGACATTTAAAAAATCAAATTGGAACTAATCATCGTGATCAATGTAATCTTTTTCAAAGAATTAAACCAAATACATTGTCTCAATTAATTGATCCTTCTGAGCATATACGACATCGGCATCATAAACAATTACAAAATCAGCAACGAAGAAAATCAAATCATCGTACAACAATATTACAAGATTTTTCGAATTTGAATCAAAATAATATAATTAATAATAGCACTAACAATAATCATAATAATAATAAGAGTAATAACAATAATCAAATATCAGAAACCAAATTAATTAATAATGTAAATGGTGACATAAAAAAGAAAAATTCAAAAAAAGAGAATTTATTTCTTCGGCATAATCATCGTCATCATAATAATAATAATCATCGTAATCATCATCGCCATCATCATTCTAATAAAAATTTGCAAAATTTACAAACACAATCTGATGAGCCTTATGTAAAGGAAAATATTCCTCAGCATCATCTGCATCATCATCATCATCAACATCAACATCATCATCACCAACACAATAATAATCATCAACAACAGCAACAAAAAGAACAACAACATAATAAAAATAGAAAAATCCAATCATCAATCGAATCATTTAACAATGATGATGAATATAATAATGATAATAATGATAATAATATGTCATCATCATCATCATCATCAATTAATACACATAGAGCAGGTGTTTCAAGTTCCATTTTAAATGAATCAAAATTGAATATTAATAAGAATATTGATGATAAAAATAATTCTAATTATCGCATCGAAAACAACAATAAAAAAAATACCAACAATAATAATAATAAAAATAACAGCAACACAAACAACAATAATAAAAATTTTAGTATTGGAGGCAAAAAATCAATTAACAATAGTAATAGTAATTATGATAGTAATAATAATAGCAATAGTAATAGAAATAATAATAATCATAGCACTAAAATGAATAATAATAGTCGTAATAATAATAGTCCTAGCAGTAATTCAAATAGCAATATAAATATTAATAATGATAATAAAAGATGCTTTGAATGTAATTATAGTCATACTACTACTGATACTAGAAATAATTTTAATAATAATAATAATAATAATGATAATATTAATAATAATGACAATATTAATAAAAAAATTGTCAGCCAAAAAAATGATGGTAAGCGAAGTATTATAAGTAATAATAATGATAATAATAATAATAATAATAATGATAGTAACATTAATTCTAATTATTTATTTAAAAAATTGTTATTTACACCTATACATAAAAATAATCATAATAATAATAGTAATAATAACAATTATTCTAACAATAATAATAATAATAATAATGACAATAAAAATAATAATGAAAATTTTTTGACATATGATGCAAATATACAAAATACACAAAATCAAAAAAAAATAATTAATAATAAAGAAATTATTGAAGATGATATTAAATTAACAAGTAATGTAAAAAAAAATTCAAATTCTCGTAAAATGATTGTATATAATAGACGTTATAAAAATACTGACACAACAAAAATAGATTTTGATAAATTAAATAAAAGAAGGTTTATTCAAACCAAAATTAACAGATATAAAGTCGTGTTTTAATTTACAGTAGATAAAATTTAATATTCATATAAGGCAAATATATTTAATGATAACTATGAGACCCCTTTTTGTAAGTTTATTAAAATTCATGAGTATAATATGTACTACTTATTACATTTGGTAAAAATTTGGTACCAAGAATTTAAAATTCGAATGTAAAGTAAAAATATTTCTTTCAAAACTAAAGATTTACTATATCTTAATTAACTTTAACTCGAACTCATAATACCAATTCGTGTATCTTATGACCAATATGATTGAAAGGAAAATTAATATGAAAACTAATTACAAAACATTAAAAAATGAGTAAATAATTAAAAGGTTCCAATGAAACAATAATTTAAAAAATCATTTCAGTTTTTCTATATATAGATATTCATCTTCCATGCTCACTGTTCCCTGTTCCATGATCACTATTCTGTTACAATTTTTTGCATTTATATTATGTACCAATTTCTTTTCTCTTTAAAGTCATCATTAACGATGAGTAATTGACTCGATTTATAATTTCAAAAAAAAAAAAAAATTGATTCTCGTCGAAAGTAAGTAACAATTTTCTCAAGACGCATTAAATATATTTAAGTATATAAGCATAATATATATGATATTCATAAAATCCAAGTCATATTTACAATGTTCAAATTCTATAAGAATGTAAAGTATATATTAACGAAACTATGCCTTAAACATTTTGCAAACAAATCAAAATTAATAATCGTTCATTTCCATTTATTTTTTATTTGTAAATTTTTCTTTGTTTTTCATAAATCTCAAAAAAAATCTTAAACTTCCTTTATGTTACAGATTTCTGTGTATCTTTAATAACAATATTTAACAATAGTATTTACTCATTTTTTTTTTTACAGCATACTCTTTAAGAGTTATTAACATAGAAATCCTATATATATACTATAGAATTGTTATAGTTGGGAGACAGTAAAGAACAACATGTTTTGTGCATCAAAGCAGATTTATGTAATACTATGCAAGTATTCTTGTAGATCTTAGTATATATACTTCATTTCATAATCCATAAAGGAATAATGGTAGTTAAATAATATGGTATTGTAAAAGTCTACTTAAATATTAAAAGTTAATATTAATAAAAGATAATAATAACATCATTAAAATGTCTACGTATACAAGAAAGAAATTCAAATAAATTATTTTTGAGAACAAAATATTACGAGTATTGTTATAACGGTATATTTACATTACCAACATCAAAATGGAAATTGGTATAGTAAAAATATTTTCTATATTTTTTTTAATTTATAGAAAATTTTCCATGTTCAATAGTATAGAAATTCATGAAATTTCAAATAATTTATGACAAAATTAAGATTTATGTTAGAAGGAAAATTATTTTTTTTTTTTCTAAATATTTTGATTTTATTTTAAGGACAAAAATCCGTTATTTTTATATTGTAAAAGCATTTCAAAATATTGGACATTTAAAATGAAAAACTGAGACTTTGTACTGTTTAACCCTTTTGCAGCTAATGCACTTTCTACGTTTCCAACCTATTGTTAAATTTTTTACGTTTAGGGTAAAAAAATTAAAATTATCTAAAATTTTTGTTTAAAAATAGAAAAGTTTCAACTGTTTCCGATTTCAATTCAATATTGAAGCAACTACTGGTTTGAAAACTATTATTGCAAATTGTTCAACCGGTTAGGTTATTAAGAAATATTCGCAATTTAATTCAAATAATGTAATATTCGAACTTTTTTCCCCAAATATACAAAAATATTAAATTTAAGGTATTTGCAGAAGCAGATTTCACTGTTAAATTTATTTAAGTATTCTTATGAAAAACATCCAAAATTGGAAATAATTCCCATCATTTAATTGCAAAATATTTTCATATAAATTTATACAAAGATCTACATAATACAAAAATATTTCCTCATTTTAGATATTTTTCGATATAAAAAAAAATCTGATGTGGTCAGCACATAACCGACAGCATTGTGTATTGTCTAGTTAAATGAAAGTGTTACAGAATATTATAAAAATGTCTATTAAATACTTCTTTCCAATTTTTAGGACATTAGTAAGCTTATAGTTAACAAACCTAGAAAAATGTAAATTTGGCTCTTAGTAGAGTTTCGCTTTGTGCTACCCGAATTCCTTGAAATGCTCACCAGTTAGTTTCGGTAACAACAAGAACTCAAATATCAAATTTCAAGAAATTCCATCAATTTGTTCTGTGGATATGGTGAAAAATGTAAAATCGGCCCGCAAATCAGTTCTCGAGCCCTGATCTTTCCAAAAAAGTTATATGTTCATTGCTTTAATATGAGGAATTCATATATTAAATTTCAATGAATTCGGTTGATTATTTCTCTTTATATACACAAAAATGTATATTTGGCCCGTAGTAAACGTCTAGTTGCCGATGCCGGTCGAGCTGAGCTTATATATAAAATTTCAAGTAAATCGGTTGAATACTTTCTTCAAAATGTTCAAAAATGTAAAACAGGCCCGCTAAAAAGTGCAGTTCCCGAGGCCTGATATATACCAAAAGTTGATCGATCAGTGCCATGGTGGAAACAAACTTACATATAAAATTTCATCAAAATCGGTTCAGCCGAACTTGAGATACACGCGTGCACACACAGACCGACAGACCGACAGGTTGCTAAAAATAGTTTATTTACACTTCCCTACTATGGAGAAGTACGTTCCCACCGAAAACTCGATATGCAAAATTTGTTGCCATCACATAACCTACCTATATATTGTTTACACAATACGGTCGGTAAAAATTGAACATGAAATCCCGTTAATTAATATTAATATTCTCAAAATTTTTGTTACAATCATAGCAAAAATTTAATTTTTCCATTAAAGAAATATTAAAATAAAAATTGAAGGTATGTTTTTAACAAAAAAAATAAAATTAAAATTTAAAAATATTTAGAAACAAAATCCAGTTGACTTATTATACATATACAATGCTACTCGTTTATTATACATATTATATACAAATAACCTCGTTTTCGGAATTATAACAAAATAATTTTAATGTGTTAAAATAATTGAAATAAACATTTAATACAAGTATATATAATTATGATATATGAAGCAAATAAAATACCTTATTCTTATATACGGTCTTTGGAGGAAAAAAAAATGATACACAATACATCTCTCAACATATTTTTACGTATATGCATACATAATATGTTCTGATAATAAATTTGGCACATTTAGCATATGTTGAACATTTACTCAGTAAAAAAAAAAAAAAAAATTATTTTTATTTTTCTGTTTTACTTATTTAATTTCTTAATTATTTTCATGTTGTTTTCTCAGAAACATTTAATAATAACATTGAAAGGAAAGAATTCCCTGAACCTCTTATATTATTATGATGAAGGTGAGTAACAAGTACCCAATTTTTTATTAAAAAAAAAAAAAACACAAAAATGTTTTTCTTTTGCGCTACTACATAAAAGTAAAGAAAAATATTACAGAAAAAAAAAAAAATTCACAATAATAATAAAAAATTTAACTGGGTTCTTCACTTAAAAAAATCTTAATATTACATTGACTTTATAATATATGTACATATATACTAATATTTGTGCATAATATTATGTACTTACATATACTCGTAGTATGTAAAATATGATTTTTCATTGTTATTTTTATTTACATATATAGATTATAGGCGCAAGAGAGAGAGAGAGAGGGAGAGAGTTTGCTGGATGGTAGGTACCATATTGCAAATTTTTTTTTTTTTTTTTTTGTGAGTGAACTCTTCAGTGTGTGATGTCAGAAAATAAACAAAGACGGTAAGAATGTCAAACATTCATAATAATGTAAGTCATTTTTTTTCTCTCTTTTTATTAATTTTTTTTATATTTATTATATACAAAAAATGCACAAGAATAATTTTACATTAAGTTTTCTATATAAAAATATATTTATTATTGTACATTATGTGTAAATGTAAATTTTTTTTTTTTACATATTACATTTGTATGTACATACATGTTAAATCTATATAAATACGGTTATAATTAACAAAGGATTTCATAGTATAGTCAGTAATAAAAATTTGCTTAGTTTTAAAGGTTACTTAAAAAACATTCATTTTTTTAACTTTATACACCTGCACAACAAAAAATTTTAAGTATTATGAAGAAGAAAATAAAGTGTGAGCGCAAGGTAAAATAAAAAGTAATAAAATAAAATGTTCAAAGAAAAACTTTTATACTCGTATACAGGCAAGCCACATATAAGTTATAACAACAGAAGAGAGAAAATTAATGCTAATTTTATAAGAACTTGTTTGGCGTGTAAAATATTTTTGTACTATGTACAACTATATTTAGATATGAATATATATATATATATATTATAATTATGTACAAATGTATATGTATGTATGAATATTCATATAATATAACATAAAATGTATAATTAAGGCTTTTATTTTCTGTATGACGGCGTTTTTTGTTTTTTTTTTTTGGTTATTTTTCCCCCCCTACCCAATATTCTCAATAACCACATCCCTATATTTTTTATTCTTTTATATGTCTATATTATAATATAATATAATATAATACACAAAGCAATATTAAACAAAAACTAGTCCTATATTTTTAGTTTTTCGTTTCTAATAGTTCTATTGATCTTATAGTAACTAAAAATCTTCTGATAATATCATAAAATTTTAAGGTATAGATATCTAAATAAATTAACATAGTTGTTATGTAATAATGTAATGTTATTCCTCGTAAACAATCATTAATTGTTTTTTTTTTTTGTTAACGCCTAAAAGTATACTATAATTGCCGTTATTACTTTTTATTAGATATAAATTGCTATGACAAAATTGCGTGTTGTTGCAGTTAATAAACGGCACAGACGGTTTTCTCAACTGATATATTTACATATATATTTTTATATTCTTTCTCTTTGTTTCTATGGCTAACAAGTAACGCGGGATTCTACATGCGACTGTCAAAACGTTTTTTACCGAAAA